AAAAATAAAATCGAAAGTTGTTTTACTTTTGTCTAAAGTAATGGCGTCGACTTCGACGGCGCAGCTTTTGGAGAAATGTGAATTTTATGTTTTTTTTTTTTTTCTCCGTTAATTTTTTCGGCACTCGAAATTGAGACAAAACGAAATGAACATACTCACAAACGATTTGATCCAATTGCGAGACGTACAAAACCTGCTGCTGCAATTGTAACATTATGACTGGTTGGCTAAAAGAAAACCCTTGAATTTACTTTTGTCACTGCATGGAGGTAGTTGATGTGACATTTATTGTCTTTATTTACGCCCAGATAAATGTCACCATGAAGGTGATTGCCATGCTTTGATAATCAGTTTGATTTTAGGGTTTTCTTTCTAGACTCTTTCTTTGGCTGTATGGGCGAACAGAGTCAAAGGCAAAAAAAAAAAAAAATTGTGTGTGTGTTTTTTTTTTTTGGTTTTTACCAAAAACCCACCCATTATAAGCCTAAGGTCTGATGGCTAGGCAGCCACACTGCCGCCTGGAATCACTTTCCTTTCGTTATTGTCAATTGGGTAGTTTATCTACTTTTTTTTCCTACACAACAAAATAATCTACTTGAGTCCATTTTTTTTCAGCTTTGTCTTTGACTTTGACATCTGGCCGGTGAAGGTTTTTTGGTATTTTGTTGTTTTTGTTTCCTACTTGGTCATACACTTCCCGGTATTATGCATCAGGCGGTCAAAAGTTATTGACTTTTTTGGTATTTTAAAAGGTTTCTTCGATTTTTTTGTTTTATTTGTGATGTGCAAAAGAGTCTTTTCAACAATAGTTTCTATAATTTAGTTTTTTTTTTTTTTAATTTTGATTATGTTTCTTTAGAAACTGAAACGCAGGGAAGTTCTTTTGAAAATTCTCCAAAGAATTGCTACTATATACGGGGTTAGATGAAAAAACTGCAAACAATTTTGAGACTGCTGTCATTTCTAGGCCACTCGTCCGAAAATTGTTAAAATTATACCAGTGACAGCTCATTACATTGTTTACAAGCGTAGAAAAGAATTTAGGAGAGAATTTTCTAGAAAAAAAATTATTCGTGATGGAATTCAAGGGTGATAGTGTGATTTCTTTATATTTGGATGGAAAACTACAAGTGGCTATCGTTAGACCACTCCAGAATGTGAACAAATATTTTGTGTTTCGTATCATGGCTCGTTACCGTGATACCGGTAAAGTAACCCGACGACGAAAGGAAACAGCAACATCGGCAGAAATGGTTTGAAAAGTAAAGAAGCAACTTGATCGAAACCCGCGACGCAGTGGCCGAAAAATGACTCGTGAGCTGAACATATCGCAATGTTCCATTCTGCAAATACTGAAATTCCCAAAAGTGCAAGAACTTACACCGCAAACGAAAGAAAAAAGACTCAAAAGAGCTAAAGAGTTGTTTCGTTTGACCGAAAGTGGTGAACTGTCGAATTTGGTTTTCTTCGATGAGAAAACATTCGTTGTCCAGCAGATTGTAAACAAACAAAATGATCGTGTTTTCTTGCCAAAGAGGTCGGCTGAAAATGTGCACCTTTGGTTGGCCACCAGAACTCAAGCGCCGGCCATGGTGATGGTGTGGGACTCCATAACGATCGTGGCATCAGAATAAACGCCGAATATTATCGCGAAAATATTCTGGAGGGTGTATTAAAGCCTTGGTCACGGAAACATTTTGGCCGCAGACCTTGGACATTCCAACAGGACTCAGCACGCGCCACCCAAGAATGTTTACAAACTGAGGCTGCATTTCTGGAGTATTTTGGAAAGCAAGGTTGGAACTAAAATTTACCAAAGTGTCGATTACCTCCATTACTGGACCGGGAATGGGCCAAAATACCGCAGAGCAACATTCGGGCAGGATGTGACGGTTTTATTGACCGTTTGAAGGCCATAAGTCGTGCCAAAGGTGACCAATTGGAACAAATCTAAACTAATTCTAAAATTTCATGCTATTTCCCACATTTTTTGCTTTCCTTCAATAAAATTAAAAAAACAAATAAATAACAACAAATAAAAAACATTAAGTTCGGCCGGGACAAACTTTTTATAGCCTCCACCTTAGGGTAAAAGAAACATTAGAAGAAATGTGGCAAAAACCATTAAAATGCCGAATATCGGGAGGTACCGTTATATGGGGGCTATACCAAATAATGGACCCATACATGCAATGTTTCGTCACCGGAGCTGGAAACCATTATGACAAATCCACAAATACCAATTTCTAGACAAATCCGTGAAAAAATGTGGCAAAAAAAAACTAAAATACAGAATATCGGGAGCTACCTTTATATGGGGGCTATACCACAACGTGGACCTATACAAGCAATGTTTTGCCACACGCTCAGGGACCCGTTATGACCTACAAATACCAATTTCCAGACAAATCCGTGAAACAATGTGGCATAAGTCATCAAAATACCGAATATCGGGAGGTATCGTTATATGGGGACTATACCAGAACGTGGACCGATATATCTCATTTTCAATTCCAACCATCCTAGACACAATGCAAATAGGTCTGGCGCTCTACGTCAAATAATGTGGGCTGTATCGTGATTTCAACAGACAGACAGACGGACAGACAGACGGACATCGTTAAATCGACTTAGAATTTTATGAATTTTTTGCTGGTCTAAGACGAATATTTAAGGATGTTACAAACGGAATGACAAAGTTAATATACCCCCCTTTCCAAGGTGGAGGGTATAACTATGACGTTTGACTATGTTGCAGTTTTTTTATCGCACCCTGTACCTATAAAAGATTAAGTAACCATATATCAAAAGTTAAAGTAATAATTATGCTTATGTATAAATGAAGAAAAGATATATTTTATGTCGGGACAACTCCTGAGTTGTCCTGGAGTTGAGAATTGGTGGATAACATAAGGGCATATGAATGAATATCAGGTCAATATAGTATCGTATTTGTCTCTGTATTGCCTTACCCCCAACAGAGCATTTGCATACAGTAACTTTCGCCAAATCGCAATAAATTTATCGTATATTTTCCATTGTAAAATTCATAGTGCTTAGTAAAGTGTTAGTGTTAAACCGGATGAGCATTTCTATATAAACGTGCTTTACGATCATAATACCGTTAAAAAAAAAACTAGATTATATCCGAAAAATTTAAATATCAACGATTAAGACCTTCCTTTTTATATCCCAGTATAAAGTATCGAACATTTTCTATATAACATATATAAAGTTACATGAGATAAGAATTTTGAAAAGAAAAAAATTAAAAACAAGTAAAAAAGCTGTAAGTTCGGCCAGACCGAACTTTGAATACCCTCCACCATTTGGTACAAATTTAACAATTTTCAAAAAAAAAATAAAATAAAATTCCTTAAAAATCTGTTAAAATCTTGAAAATACCTAATGTAGCCGTATATTAGAGTCTATACGACGATGTGGACCTGCATAGGCAACTTTTGTCACAAGCTATTACAATATTGAAATGCGAAACTTGAAAAAAAAATCTGTTTATAATGCACAGGCAATTTTCTGTCATAGGCTGTAATATCGAACTTCAAATGCGAAATTTGAAACAATTCCGGTAAATAATGTCGCTAAAATCATCAAAATACCGAATATCGGGGTATACCGTTATATGGGGGCTATATGAAGACGTGGACCTGCACAGACAATTTTACGTCATAGGCTGTAGTATTCATTACGAACTTCAAATGCGAAATTTGAAACAATTCCGGTAAATAATGTCGCTAAAATCATGAAAATACCGAAGATCGGGGGGTACCTTTGGGGGCTATACGAATACGTGAACCTACCTGGCTCATTTTTTGTCTTAGGATGTAGTATTCATTACGAACTTCGAATACTAAAACTGAAACAATTCCGGTAAACAATGTCGCTAAAATGATCAAAATACCGAATATCGGGGGCTATACGAATACGGGGACCTACATGGTCCATTTTCTGTCTTAAGCCGTAGCATCTATTATGAACTTTAAATATTAATTTTGAAACAATTCCAGTAAAAACTGTCGCTAGAATCATCAAAATACCGCATATCGGGAGGTACCGTTATATGGGGGCTATACGAAGACGTGGACCTACATGGCCCATTTTCAATACGAAAAGTCCTGCAGAAATAGTAAACATTTGAGTAAAATTTTATCAACCTACTTCGTTTCGTTCGGAAGCTAGAGTGATTTCCACAGACGGACGGACATTGATAAATCGACATAGAATTTTATGCTGATCAAGAATATATATACTTTGTGGGGTCTAAAATGTATATTTCGAGGTGTTACAAACGGAATGACAAACTTAATATACCCTCCATACTATGGTGGAGGGTATAAAAAGGGTGTATATTTTTCTATACCTATACCGATTCAACTATGACTTGTTTTCAAGTTTTTTTGCCGAAGATTTCATCGAATTAGAATTTCTTACGATCAAAAGGGTTTATGTTATTAGAAGAAAATGGAAAATTTAGAAAATTCATAATGGGTTAAGGCTATAACTGGTGCTTTAGAACTATTTGATTATACCTTAGGCAATGCGCCAATTCCATTATATTTTTCAACATCTGAGAAAAGAAGTCAATTTAAATACATTTATTGTCCTAACCTATTGAGTGCCAATGACAAAGAAAACCATGATGCACAAAGGTCTAAGCAACCATTTGCAATATGGATGCCGGTCAAATTGGGGATAGATGGTAAGAGCAAATTTTTAATGGACTGGAATATTACTCCCAATATGAAAATTTTTGAAAAGGTAAAAACATTTCCTGCTACAAGAAATTCTCAAATATTTTATTTTTGTTGAAATAATATTTCAGCAGATAAGACTTCTTATTACTTAGATTTTTAAATGTTTTAAGAGTTTCTTACACATTCTTTTTTATTTTTTTTTATAGGATATTAATAACAATTTGAAGCTATATTTAAGAAAAAAAAAATAAGAATAAGATATTATTATTTGTGTTTCACTTGTCATACCATTCAAATAGGAGGCATGCTGTTTCCACAGCTGTTGCACTTGAAATTGTGTCCAGCGATTGTTATCCTCGAGATTGGGGGTATTTGGATTGTTATTATTATTGTTGTTGTTGTTGTTGGAATTCACATTATTGCTATTGTTGCTGTTGTTATTGAGATTATTCACAGTATTGCTGTTGTTGTTGTTATTGTTGGCTAAATTACCATTCTGATTTTGAACATTGCTTAAAACTCCCACCAAACCATTGACCAGATTATGGGCTACGACATTATCGCTGAGATGCTGGGCTAAATTATTGTTACTGCTGTTGGTGGTGGAGGCGGTGTTGGAATTGTTGCTGTTGCTGTTGTTGTTATTGTTCCCACTGTTATTTAATAACATATTGTTATTGTTAATGCCACTGTTATTGCTGCCATTACTCAACGGTGATGAGCTATTACTGCTACTGTTGTTGCCATTCAATTGGACCACCGCATTATTGACATTGGCCAAATGTTGCAAATGATGTTGCAACAACTGACTACTTGGCGGCAGTGATGAGACCAAATTATTGCTAAGATTATTTATGGTTTGTTGCAGCTGCTGATTGGCATTGGCCACATGTTGCATGGTGTTGCGCAGCAATGTGTGAGTTGCAACATTATTGTTGCTGTGATTATTGGTTGGGTGGGTATTGTTGTTGTTGGCATTTAATGTATTACTGTTGTTGTTATTGGGGCTAAGATTTAAATTGTTGTTGAGCAAATTAAGGCTGCTGCCGTTACTGGAGGGACTACTGGAAAGACTACCACCTCCACCTCCACCAGCTATGCCACCAGCATTGCTGCCAGCCAATAAATGTGGCAAGTTATGCATTACTTGCAGAGGTAAAGAACTTAAAGACGGTAAGGGTTGGGTAGATCCATTATTGCTGCTGTTGTTGTTGCCACTGTTATTGTTAACATTGTTGTTCATGTGATTAAGCAAATGTTGTTGCTGTTGATTATTGATATTTTGTTGTTGTTGATGTTGTTGTTGCTGTTGTAACTGCTGCTGCTGCTGATTGTGATGATGCTGATTCAGTTGCAATATTTGTAGCTGCGCTCCATTGTGTTGTGCAGCTGCCGCTGCCGCCAATGGGCCATTCATCAACGAGCCCAGCTGTAATGATTGCGGTGGCAATTGATAATCCATTCTCATTGATAGATCACGCATAAATCTGGTTAAGCAACAAGTCGGAAATAAACATCAGAACTTTTGGCCAGATAGAAATTCATTCACAAAAACACGTTCGCTCCGTTGTTCAACATGTATATACATATATTTTGTACTTTAATCAGTTAAGCATTAATAATAAACAAATTTTATAGTGATTTTTTTTTTTTCTTTCTAAAATTATTTATTTATTTATTTGTATTTTTTGTGATTTTAAATGTCGTTTTGATACAGATTTGCTATTTCAGTTACTCTTTCTGAAAAAAAAACATTAATAAAAAAAAAATGTTGTAATTGTTATACTCGTTGTACTTGTGGTGAATTTCACCGAAATTCCTTGAGATAAGTGGTTTTAAAATATGTTGCTAATTAAATCCATTATTTTATTAGGCACACTTTGGTATTTCTTGTTAGAATTTTATGTGGTGAACCATTTTCTATACATACAGCACGAAGTCAATTTTTTTTTTGCTAAAAATGCAAGAGACTTAAATACAAAATCGGATGAAACATATATATGGGACCTATTGTTATATCTGAATCGATTTTCACCAAATTTCACATACTTTCCTGTTTATTCCTGGCGAAAATATCCCAGACAAAAAACAAGGGACTGATGAGGATTGGTGGCTCTTTCCGAAACCTAGGTATTCGCTGCCTTACCCCCTGGTAAACATTACCATCGATCTCCCCTAATAAACAAACGTTGTTTTTATAAAAACAACAATAAAGGGATTAAGCCTAACCATTTTGCAACAACTATATATGAGAACTTTAGTTATATATGAACCGATTTTCACCACATTTGATATACTAGGCTCAATTTGGTCGTATGTGGCAAATTCCATCCTATTTGATCTACAAATCGGATATAGGAGCTATATCTAAGTATTGACCGATTATCTTTAATTTCAATGCAGCTCGCACTAGGGTCAAATAAATGATTTGTGTAAAATTTCATATCGATCGAACAATAAATGCGACCTGTAATTTGTTCACAAAAATACATGAATAGACAGATATGCGGACAGACGAATATCCACAAATCGACTCAAAAAGTGATTCTATGAAGATTCTCAAAAGTAAGTATGGGACTATCTCATTTCCGTCTCCATTTTACAAACAGATGCACAAAGACATAATACCCTGAGCCCTGTGTGGTGTAGGGTATGAAAAGCTCACATATATTTTATTAAACACACTGTTTTCCATGTGCCCAGAACCAGGGAGATATATAGCCCAAAAACAATTTCCATGTAAAATGTGCAAGAAAATGCAGAAAACCATTTGAGAGGCGGTCCGGGCTTTCAGGACCTCACTCTGTTTACGCCACAACTCAGAATAGATTATCTGGAACTCTGATTAAGGGCTTATTTTCCATTGTTGATCTGGAATTCTGATTAAGGACTTATTTTTCCATTGTTGATCTGGAATTCTGATTAAGGGCTTATTTTTTTTTTATTGTTGATAAGTTTTCAAAGCCATTCGAAAAATGTTCAACAATTTTCGCAAAAGATTCTAAACAATCCTTATTTCACTATTATGTTGTCTATAATTTTTAAAATTATATTTTTTTAACTTTCTTTTTTTATGGTATTAGGGGCTTTCAAATAAATATTAAAAAATCTAGTTTCCGTAATTCAGATGGCCACACAGACCATTTTAGTGTAAAAAATTACACACCCTATTTTTTCGAATATCCATATTCACTTTTTTTTAATATATAATAGTATTTAAAAAAAATCTTATTTTCGGTTATACCCCACAATGATGGTTTTGTCTGAGATCGACCATGACCTTGTTTAAGAATGACATAGACGATAACAATTAAAACCTTGGAGCCTTTTTGAAAATATTTTTTTTTTACTTTTTCATACATTTAATTTCCTTTCATTTAATACAATTTTTAATCCCAAGATTTGATGTTAGCTGATGGCAAAAATTGAGCTCGTACTGTAGTTAAAAATGTTCACCAATTATTTATTTATTTATTTATTTTTTTTTTTTTTTGAATAATCTTGTTAGTTTTATAAATTGAATTTATTTTAATATTTATTTGGTTTTTAATTTTTCTTTATAATTTGTGAACTTTCAAAAATAAATTCCTTTTTGAAAGTAATTCATATTTTGTAAATATTTTTTATTAATTTCATTATTTACTTAATTTAACTCATAGTTAATGAACAAACATCTTTAAACAAATTTAACCTTGATTTTTTTCTTTGCCTGCACTTGTTTCACAAAACTCTACAATTTTTTTTTTTTTTTTTTTTTTTTTTGAAAATTTATCTCTTATTCTAATGTTTAGAATTTTAATGTAGGTATTTTGTTTTATATTCCGAAACTAGATCAGGTTTGGACAATGTGTGTTAATTTCAATTTTGACATTTGTGGTTGTGATTTTGTGGGTTTTGGATTTCCGAACAAATTCTGTGCACTTTGAAAGACACGCTTTGTCTTTGCTTATTTTAATTGTTGTTTGATACAGACATACATACATGTTTGTATATAAATATATAGGTATGTAGTTGATTTTGATTGTTGTTTGAAATATCAATTTGCTCTTGTTTGTCAAAACTGAGATCTCTTGGTGCTATCACTTTTCGGTGTATTTTTATTTTCTATATACCTATGCTTTCGCCATATATAGATATGTATAAGCTATAATCATACTAAATGTACTCAAACATTATTTTTTTATTAGATAAGCTTGTTCCGTTGTCGCACAATTTTCTTCTCTTCAATTGCAAGGCTTTGTGGGTGTGTGTTTTTATTTATTTATTTTTTTTTTTTTTTTTTGAATTTCCACTGCAAACGAAAAATGATTGATTTTGCAATTGTCAAAAATTTTCTTTTTGCTGTTTTTATTTATTATTTATTTATTTTATTTTTTTTTTTTTTTTTGAATTTTCAAATTATTTAAAAGCCCGTTAAACAAGTTGCACTATTTCGACCGATTTCCGTTAATACTACCGGTACCATTGCCACACGTTTGCAGAGTGAGCTCTTCGATCCCGTAAAAGTTCAACAGAAACGGCGGTTCACACTACAGAAGCGCAACGTGTTCGTATGTCTGTTTGCATATTTCTGTGTGTGGTAATACACAAGTCTTGGCCAGGCAGATAGCCCACCACCTTATTATGCAGAGGGAATTTGAAAACCCAACTTGACAAAACAAAAAAAAACTTTATAAACAACAACAAAATAAAGCAACAGAACCGCATTATAACCAAAATTCTCTCGCTCTCACTGTATGTACACCCAAACTGGGAGAAAGAGTTAAGTGACGCCGTAGAAAGATAAAACAGCAGCCGTAACAACAACAGCAACAAGCAACAAAACCAAAACATATATTTCTTTTTTGTTTTCATAAATATTTTTATTTTGAGTTTTGTTGTATTTTCAGTTTTCTCCCAACCAGTCAGTCAGTCAGACCAGACAGCGCTTAGCCAGCCAGTCAAAGAGCGAGCTTGTTCAATTGTCGCCCTTGTCGAAAACTTTCGGGAGTAAGCTTTCATGTCAGCTATGAGCATTTCTCTTCTTTCACTTGGACTGCAACAAGTTCAAGCTTTTCGCAAGCTGAAACGTCAGACAGCAACTTTCTTTATACTCTCTCTCACCGTTGTGATCGGGGCACAGTGGTTGTGTGCCTGAAAAGTGGCGATGGGTGGAATTTTTTTAAATATTTTATGGCGACAAATGGAGAACAGCTTTCATAAATTGTTATTAAAGGGGAAATAATAGATTTTAGAATTAAGAACTTATTCAAAGGCAATGAAAATATACATTTGAAGTTTCAGAATTAGAAAAGTGTGTTTTTCTAAAATTAAAGACGGAAAATAAAATGTAATGTTGTTAAAATTAAAATTTTAGTTGGCAAAAAAATGATTTTGAAATATCAATACTATCTATATTATCGGCTCCTAAATAAGATGCCTATAAGAAATAAAAATAAAATAAATAAAGAGTTTGAAAGAATTCGGATGCACATTTCGAGTTTTATGAGCTTTATGGTTATTCAAAATGTTGACCCTTTGTGGGGGAGGTATCAGAAGAAGTGGGTCGATATATCCCATCTTCACGTTACATCTTGTGTTGGCTGAAATACTGAAATGTGTGAAATTTGGAGACAATGGACTCAACTTTGATCCGTTGTAAGCGAGGTACTTGATGGAGTGTGCCCATATTTTATATTTACACTGCAATAAGCACTGATCAGAAAATATTTGGATTTGTACAGTTTGCAATTAATTGAATGATTCTCCCTTTTTCTATATGGTGAATTATTTTCTGTGAAAATTATGACCTCAGGGGGAGGTACCAGAAGGACTCGTTGTAAGTTTGATAATAATATTACAATATACCAAGTATGGACCAAATAAGGTAACTAACTTCGGAAGCTATCGTGCGCACCAGCCAGACAGACAGACGGACGGATTCTTCTAGATCGATTCCTAATGTCCTGAAATGGATTTGGTCCAAAGATACTTAGGGTCTAAACCGTTATTTCAATTAGGCACGTTTTGGCCAAATGATTATATACTCTATGTAGCCATATGGGAAGGGTATAAAAAGCGTGCTCTGTTAAGAATGCTCATTGCTCGCTTCTTTCTTTGATTTTTACCAAATTTTTTCACGGATTTGTCTAAAAACCAGCAAAGAAAGTCCTAAAGTCGGGCGGGCCGATTTTATGATACCCTACACCACTTTGCTAATTTAGTTGAGCTCCACATAACAAGTAAAAGTTTTTATGGGATTTTTATGATTTTACACCCTATGATTAAATTATAATATAAAATTTAAAGGACTAAATACGGCGAAGCATTTGTATCTTTTAAATTCGGACTTGTATTGCCCATTTGGTGCAAAATTAATTCTAAATCAGATAAAGATATGTATGGGAGCTAAATCCAAATCTGAACCGATCTCGATAAAACTTGGCAAAGATATTTCTGAGCTGTATTTGATATATTTCCCTGAATATCGTTGTTACGGAGTGCATATTACGGCTGTGGATAGCAAATACAGCAAATCGGATGAACAATATATATGGGAGCTATAGCAATATCTGAACCGATCTTCACCAAATTTTGCATACTACCTTCTAGACTCAATTCGGTCGTATGTGCCAAATTCCATCCCATTTGGGCAAATATTAGACGTTTGGTGCACTATCAAAGGTAAATCGGACGAAGTTATATATGGGAGCTATATCCAAATCTGAACCGATCTCGATAAAATTTAGCAAAGGTATTTCTGAGCTGCATTTGATATATTTCCCCAAATATTGTTGTTACAGAGTGCATATTACGGCTGCGGAGGACAAAAATAACAAATCGGATGAACAATATATATGGGAGCTATAGCTATATCTGAACCGATTTCTATCAAATTTGGCATGCTTATTTTTAGGCCTAATTTGGTTGTATGTGCAAAATTCCATACTATTCGGGCTGATATTACACGTTTGGTGCACAATAAAAGGCAAATCGGACGAAGATATATATGGGAGCTATATCTAAATTTTTACCGATTATCTCAAATTTCAATAGGGTTCATCCTTGGGCCAAACAAATGTTGTTTGGAAAATTTCATCTCAATCGGATAATAAATGCGACCTGCATTTTCTTCACAAATATACATGGACAGACGGACGAACGGACAGACGGACTCAGAAAGTGATTCTAAGCAGATCATCAAAAGGAACTATGGACCTTTCTCGTTTCCTTTTGCCTGTTACAAACAAATGCACAAAGACATAATACCCTAACCACCTTGTGGTGTAGGGTATAAAAATTGTTGGTCATAATGGGTTCTAGCTCCAGTGGCGAAAAATTGTATGTATAGGTCTACGTTTTAGTATAGCCTCCATATGACGGTACCTTCCGATATTCGGTATTTTGATGTTTTTCCCATGAATTTGTCCAAAAATTGGTATTTGTGTGTCATAATGGGGTCTAATGTTTCCTTTACCTTAAAGTGGAGGGTATTAAAAGATTTTTTTTTGTTAGTCCAAGTTCCGAATTTGATGAAGAGGTACGTAGTTTCTGTTGCTTTATATATATATTTTTAGAAACCATTATTTCTATCCTTCCGTTAGTTAGTTTGTTTAAAATAACCTTTTCTGGGTTATTTGACTTATAGAGTTTCCAAGCTTTTTCTGGTTAGAAATTTTTTAAAGTTTTGGCTTTAAAATAAAATATATATTTATGGCTTTTCTCAGATGTTTTTTTCCTTTGTAGAAATCTTGTTTGCCTAATAAGAATCCAATTCAGAAAAAAAATCCACCTTGACATGGAATCAACTCTACATAAGTTTTGCTTTTAGACACTGTATCAGCATTTCAAAGCTTTACGTCAACATTGGAATTTACTCTCACTATGGCTCAGAAACCGCCAAAAAGCCATAGTTCATTTCTGATAGGGTACTCAGAAAACTAGTTAAGATACTGGTGTTACAGTGCTCCATAATCATCATTCACATGATCATCATCATCATGCAGAGCATTGGTATATACATATGTGTATGTATGTATGCACAGAGAAGATGCACGCTAGATGAAATTAAACTTTCGTTGAGACTGAAGCTGCAACAACTTTTAGCGCTGTAATCCAGTCTTTGATACCGACGTGCAGGCAGACAGACAGACAATGAGCCAAAGCCAAGCCAAGCCAAGCCAACCAAACAGCCAGTCATCAGTTACACAGTAGCATGCGGAAGCATATTGTCTCGGCTTGTTATTACGTTATGCTGTAGATTCGTATGTCTGTTGTTGTTGTTGTTGCTTACTCTGTCTCAGTTGTTGGTCATTCTGTTTTGCTGTTGTAATTTCTTTTTGGTTATTTATAGCAGCGTTTTCATTTTCATTATGAGTGAAAGTTAAACTTGGTTTGGTGTTGTGTTAGTAGATGAGTGTGTGTGTGTGTATGTACGATGAAAGCTTTTTATTTTAATTTTTGATTTGAGTGATTTTTTTGTTTTAATTCTTAACCTAGGTTTTGAAATGTAATTTCGAGTGTAAAATAAAGCTTATGGCGTAAATTTGTGATACAAAATTCATTGGCTTAAATAGGAATTTCGGTCACATGGATATCATATCCGTATTTTATCCTTAATACCTAATAGGCATTTCGTCAGGGCTTTCATTCCGTTTTTTTTTTTTTTTTTTGATTTTATTTAATTCTTATCGAAAAATAAAACAAAAATTACTTACCACAATCGAAATCTATATGAAATATTGTGAATTGAAAATGAAAACGTTAATAGGATACATACACAAGGACATTCAAAAAAATGTTGGAGCTCGCAAACAATGATCAGAACATGACAAAGCCACAGAAAAAAAGCCAAATATAGTGAACGGATGTTCATTATGCAGAGATGTTGGTTTTTCTTACCTGAAATGACAGAAAAGGAAAATTATTCATTAATTTTTTATTCGACTCTAATAATTTGATATGGTATTTTTTTTTAATTTATTAGAGATATTTTTCAGAAACTTAAAATAAAAATTTTCAAAGACAATTTTTTAAAAAATATGTTTATGCTCTTCTCCATAACGTTGTTCTTCCGTTTGTAACTCTTCGAAATACTCTTGTCGGACCCAGCGAAGTATACACAGGGTCAAATGAAAAAACTGCAATCAACTTCAGAGTGCTGTCACTTCTAAGCCACTCGTCCGACAGCTGTTAAAATTATTCCAGTGACAGTTTATTATATTGTTAACAAGTGTACTAAAGCATTTTGGTGAGCAGTTTCCAGAAAAAAAAAGTTATTCGTGATGGTATTCAAGCGTGATAGTATGATTTCTTTATATTTGGCGGGAAAACCACAAGTGGCTATCGTTAGAGCACTCCAAAATTTAAATTTGAATAAATCTTTTGTATCTCGTACCATCTCTCGTTACCGTGATACTGGTAGAGTAGCTCTACGTCAAGGAAGTGGACGGAAAATAGCAACACCAGCAGAAATGCTTCGAAAAGTATGATCGAAACCCGCGTCGCAGTGGCCAAAAAATGGCTCATGAGCTGAACGTATCGCAATATTCCATTCGGCAAATATTGAAAAAATCAGCTCGGGGTAAAGCCATTTAAATTCTAAAAAGTACAAGAACTTACACCGCAACAGAAAGAGAATATGCTCAAAAGAGCTAAAGAGTTGCTTAGCTTGGCCGAAAGTGGTAATGCCATGGTGATGGTGTGGGTCGCCATAACAGCCGATGGTCGCTCTCCGCTCGTATTAATTATTAATTTAATTAATTATGGTGAAAATATTCTGGAGTTTGTATTAAAGCCTAGGGCACGCAAATATTTTGGCCACAGACCTTGGATTTCCAACAGGACTCAGCACAATCGCACTCAACAGGCGCCGCCCAAGAATGGTTACAAAATGAGGTTCCTCGCTTCATTTCCAGCGCACAATGGCCACCAAAATCTATGGATACCAGTCCGTTGGACTATTGTGTCCGGAGTATTTTAGAAGTCAAGGTTGACATTGAAAAATACAAAAGTGTCGATCACCTCAAGTAAGCGCTTCGCCGGGAATGGGCCAAAATACCGCAGAGTAACATTCGGGCAGAGTGTGACGGTTTCATTGCCCGTTTGAAGGCCATAATTCGTGCCAAAGGTGACCAATTCGAACAAATCTAAACTTATTTTAAAATTTAATGCTATTTCCGACATTTTTTGCTTTCACTTAATAAAATTTAAGAAAAATGTAAAAATTATGGCGTTTGACTTTGTTGCAGTTTTTTTTATCCCACCCTGTATATAAGTCAATTTAACTATGCACGTCTGTGTGTTGTAATCACGCCATATTTTGAATGAATTGTGATAGAAGGCTAAAATTTTGCACACATGTGTATATTTAGCCAGAAGTTAGGTTAAGTTCGTAAATGGACCATTTTAAACCCCCTTACCCCATGTAGCGACACCTCTCAATATTCGATAATTTTAGCTACATTATTCAGCGAAATCTTTTTAAATTTCGTATTGAAAGATCTTAATGGTTACTACAACCTATGACACAAAATTGCGTACTCAGGTCCACATCTTCGTATAGCCCCTATATAGCGATACCTCCAAATATTCGGTATTTTGATGATTTTAAGAGGCATTATAGACTGGAATTGTTCTTAATTTCGTACATAAAGTTGGTAATGGGTACTACAGCCTGTGAGAAAAAATTGCGTACGCAGATCCACGTCTTCGTATGGCCCCCATTTAACGGTGCCACTCAATATTCGGTATTTTGATGATATTAGCGACATTATTTACCGGAATTGTTTCAAATTTCGTATTTGAAATCCGTAACGGATACTACAACCTATGCAGGTGCAAGTCTTCGCATAGCCCCAATTTTATGGTATTTTTATGACATTATCGACATTATTCAACGGAATTGTTTTAAATATCGTATTTGAAGTTTAGAATCGGTACTACAGCCAATGAAAAAAAAAATTACTTATGTAGGTTCTCGTCTTCGTATAGGCCTCATAATACGGTTTTCATTGAAAAAGTATTAAAAGTTCGGTCCGGCCCCACTAAGGTGCGTTTTTACTTGTTTTCCACCAAATCCGTATTTTCCCAGAATCCAGTGATCTTTTGAAAGGATCTGAAGAATGTGGTTGAGACTAATGGTTGTGTGCAATTTGCTTCAATTAGTCTAAATAACATGTTTGATCCTTGATAGTATTCCTAGATAAGTCCACGAGCTATCATTTCTATATATCTCCTTGCTTTTAGCTCACGCACACATACATATATAAATT